CGGAGAGCACGCAGGAGCTTTTGCTTCAGAGGAGGGCCGATTGCAAGGACTGGGGTTTGATTCCAAAATCCTCTTGCTGTCCGCATCATAATCATCACCTCCATCTCCTCTTCCATTTTCTTTGTTGGATTTGTTTTGCTCCCCCCCCTTTTTTTTTGGGTTTTTAGAGGCAGCTTACATGGACCATGGAGGAGAGCACTGTTGTGCGCAGCGGAAATTTCGGCAGAGTTTCTGGTGCACAATAATAGAGAAAGATCGATAAGAATTCCCGTCTCACCAAGGAAACAAGAATCTGAAGCGGATATCTCAACCAAGTGAGATATCGGCTCTTCCTCTCATCAGTTCTAGGACTGACCTGTCGAGGGATCCTAAAAACTATTACAATGGCCACAAACTCAAACAAACCAATTTTACGTGGTTCAGCAAACTGCCTACGTCCACGGGGTAAGGAGGGGGAGATCTACTATTAGAAAGAAAAAGAATACAAATAGGTTTACAACTCTCACAATTAAACCCTCAATCTAATCTCTTTCTTCCTCTGCTCAGTTGTTTTTCTTCTCTGTCGAAAAGAGACTCACAGCCGCCGTCCTAGCACAGCCGCCCAAACCTCCTTCTGCTCCTCGGTTTGCACGCCGCTTTTCCCCCAGCTTTCGCACCTTCAAGTGCTTCATCTTTTCACGCATCCGCTGGCCCCCACACCCTACTCACAACTTCCGCGTTCACAATTCTCCATCTCGGCGAAGTTTTCTCAAAACTGAGCCGACACCGACCAAACCAAATGTCTCACTTGTTGTGTCCAGTACGAAGTGAAATAATTCACGACAACGGACTCAATCCATAACAAGTCGAGAACCCAAATGAGAGTGCAAAAACTCTCCAAATATCGGTATCAACTCATCAAATCAATCTCACCCCCATCAAAATCAAACCCGGCTGCATCTGAAAGACTGCCTACGTATCCTCTTGCCCAAGGAATCAAGCCGAACGTAGTTCACCCAAATGGCCACGAACGACCTCAATCCAATAGAAGAGTTCGTAACCCTTCTCCAATATCATCAATTCTGCGACTGATAGCGCCTCCAATGGCCTCAAACACCTCCACCTGAGGTGAACCAATGGTCATATCCAAACTGTATCTATCAGCTGCACTCGAATAAAAACCCAACTCATCATCTGCACCCAAATCCAAATGACTTCCACGCCGTGTCACCTCAGCTGGAATCCCAACAAATGCAGAATGACCTTGAGTATGTGGGAAAATCCCTACCCAATGTGGAGTAGCATCAGTCTCCACCCGCTGCGATACCTCTAAGGTCTGTCCAAAACTCTCCACCTGCTGAGAGTCAATTGGCTCCCTCATCGAAGCCTCAACCAAAGTGACACTACCAGACCTATCTTCTAATGGAGTTTTACCTCCAATCACAGCAGTTAACAACTCTTTAATAGGATGAGCCAAATATGTCGAAGCCTCAGTCCAGAACCTCTTCTGCAAACCATTGCTCGACCACAAACACCGATCCTCCTCTAGTAAGACACGGTTCTCCAAATTTGTCACCCTATTTAGTTGCCCCAAGATTTTCTTTCCAACGAAGTGTCTCGAAATGCCGTGAGCTCGGCTCCAATGCAGAAACAGGTCCATCTTGTACCTCCCACCAGAATAGAGTACCTTCACCTTTCTGTCTATCACACACTTCTTCAATCTGTTGGATACTACTAGGACTTTCTCCAAAGGGGATTTGGTTGCAACCCAAACACACCTAGAACAGCCACCAACAAAGGAAACCAAACGCCTATTACCTCCCAATAATGCCCCCTTGGAAGGCCCCCAAACATCCACGTGAACTCCTCCAGAACGACCCTTAGCACGGTGAATAGAGGTGCCACACTTCACCTCGGTCTTCTTGCTCACATCAACATGTTCACTGGACTTCAAACTGCAGGTCTTTGCACCCTCTTTCAATCTATGCGAGGAATCAATACTGAAATGGCCAAGCCCCAAATGCCGCATTCTTGCACGGTTATCAGCCATGTACACCACACCACTATCCACCAGCTTCTCAAAACTGGAGAACCATTCCCTTCTAGGGCACACATGATAGGTCGCACCACTATCCAACATCCATTCAGATTCCTCCGAATAGCTATCTGTAGGACTGATAGAAAGCGAATAAATAGAAGAGTCAGAATTATTACCATCCGATACGATGTTTGCTTCTGATGATGGCTGCTTCCCTTTCCCCTTCTGCTTATTCTTCATCCATTCGTCGAGCTTTGGGCAATCTTTCTTCCAATGACCAGTCTCCTTACACCAAGCACACTGATCTTTTCCAATTCTAGAATGTGACTTCCAATTCTTTCGGTTTGGACCCTTCCCTCTTGCGACCAACGCCTCTGCTACCGACTCAACTGAAGCCTCCTTATCCTTCTTTCGAAGCTGATAATTCACAAGTGCAGCGGTGACCTCACTATACGAAAGTGATGCCTTCCCATTAATCAGAGTAAGAACGAAGGTCTCATATTCCTCGTCGGGCAAGGAACTCAACAACAGCAACGCCTTATCCTCATCTTCAATCTTGACATCCACATTCGTCAAATCCGCAAGAAGTTTTGTGTAGTGGTTCATGTGATCTCTAATGGAGGTTCCCTTCTTCAACTGGAAACGATAAAGTCTCCTCTTCAAATGCAAGCGATTTTCCACACTCTTGGTCAAATACTTGCTTTCGAGAATCTCCCAAATCTTCTTCGCAGAAGTCTCATTCATCACATCATATTTTAGATCTTGAGTCAAACAAGACCTAATCACACCACACGCCGTTCGATTCATCTTCTTCCAAACCTTCTCTTCAATCTCATCTGGCTTGCCATCTAACTCCAAGGTATCCTCCAAATTCTGCGCGTTCAGCGCATCCAAAACCTCGCATCTCCATAATCCAAAGTTGTTTGTGCCATTAAATTTCTTCACATCTATCTTCATAGAGTGGATATTCAAACTCTGAATGGTCTTCGCGCCAGAAGCACCACCCTCGACACCCGAAGCACCTTCTTTCCCCGACATCTTACGCACTAACGAACGAAGAATAGATCCAAAACTAAAAGATAGAGTCTTTATCAAAAGATCCCACCTTTATCACCAACGAAGCCCTAAACGAACCTCCAAATTGATCTACTCCTCCAACCAAACCCTAGATCTGGAATCTGGGCTCAGATACCACTTGTTGTGCGCAGCGGAAATTTCGGCAGAGTTTCTGGTGCACAATAATAGAGAAAGATCGATAAGAATTCCCGTCTCACCAAGGAAACAAGAATCTGAAGCGGATATCTCAACCAAGTGAGATATCGGCTCTTCCTCTCATCAGTTCTAGGACTGACTTGTCGAGGGATCCTAGAAACTATTACAATGGCCACAAACTCAAACAAACCAATTTTACGTGGTTCGGCAAACTGCCTACGTCCACGGGGCAAGGAGGGGGAGATCTACTATTAGAAAGAAAAAGAATACAAATAGGTTTACAACTCTCACAATTAAACCCTCAATCTAATCTCTTTCTTCCTCTGCTCAGTTGTTTTTCTTCTCTGTCGAAAAGAGACTCACAGCCGCCGTCCTAGCACAGCCGCCCAAACCTCCTTCTGCTCCTCGGTTTGCACGCCGCTTTTCCCCAGCTTTCGCACTTTTCACCAAGCCCTCTGCCCCTTTGCTCACACGAAACCCTAAAAAAAAACTTATTTATAGACTTCATACAAGCTATCAAAACGCGTTAACTGAAACAAAACTCTGGTATGCACGTGATCACTT